ACATACATGCGTGTAAAGCGAAAAGTCGGTCGTCTCCGCGAGAAATGCATATTGTATACGATGCGAGACTGCATCGCAAAATTGTTCGTGTTCACCGATCGATCGATCTGTGCCGCCTCGATCGAGCTCCATGCGATATACATATGAATCACGCTCGCGGTGAATAATCGTCGCGGCGCATTACATAGACGCTTCCATGCGCGCGATGCTATAACATATTATAATCGATAATTTTATCCGCGTTTCATTTTTGACCGGCAGATCGACGAGCTCTGCGAGCGAGCTGAAAAACAGACACGCGGTACGTTATATACACGCGATACATTGCGTAAGAGCCAGCTCTCGCGCCTGCTAGATTATTCTCTCTCTCTCTCCTATATGCATGTCTCGTTCGAGCAGCGGCAGCAGCTCACATGTAAATATTTAAAAACCCGCGTCAAGTAGAAGAAGAAGGGCGACGGATCGGTGCACACGCGCGGCAACAATTTTCAGCCGCTTAGCTGCGATGCGCTACGCGATCATTCATGAATCACACGAGCCCGAGTCCGATCCCGAGACGACGACGACGACGAGAAATAATTGCAACTAGCAGAATCTAGTTTCTGTTTCCGAGACGCGCCGTTCGGTCTATATATCTATATCATTGGACGCGATGCATATATAAACACATGCACGCGTGATCAGCTCAACGACGACTCATTGGTACACATAATATACAATTAAGGAGGCGTATACGTATAGCCACGATGATATACCCAAAGCCCATGGCATTCGGCTGCTCCAATTTATATCGTTAATTTTAAGCTCGAGCGAGCTAGATGTAATTTAGCAGTCGAGAGCATCTCTATATCTGTATATGGGAGCTTTCATCGCATACACGCGACTGCGCAATAATAATTAAATCAGCTTCGATCCATATTAAATATGATACGCGCTAGACACGTGCCATATATACGAGTATATGACGTGGGTCACGATCCACGTCGAACTTTCGTCTCGGGGCTGGAAAGAAATTTTTGCTCGACTGGAAATCTAATATAGCCGTGCGCGCGCGAGAAATTAATATCGATCGCTCGAATTCACTTATACAGTTCTCTTGTTTTTATTCGATAAAAAAAAAGATTTCATGGAAACGCAAACATCCTTGGAGCACAAAGCACTGTAGTCGTATACAGATGTGTATTATAGATATCGTCGTCGTCACGCAGACTCTTTGCCAACTTTTATACATGTACGTACGATAATGGATTTCGAAAATCAAAGTGCGGAAGGTTGAGCCCCTGAGACGCGTCACGAGTCGCGCGCGAGGTTGGAAAATCTAATGGCCGCCACCACCACCACCACCACCACTCAGCGAATTAATAATTCCCAACGCGAGTGCGTGTGTGTGTGTGTGCTGCACATAATTTAATTCGAATCTTTCGCGTGCGATACGAGCGAATCGGGTGTCGCGCGACAATTTCCTTTCTCTGCTGTGCTTTACGCTAATCGAATACTGAATAGATCGGAAGCGGACACCCGAGCTCATTGTCATCGATTGTCCGCTTCGCTCGCATCTCGGCATTGAAAGTTTTGTACTTGCGCGATAGGAAAAACGCCATTTCCACGATTAAGGAATAACTTATTGATGGCAGTTGAGAGCTTGAGAAAAGAAAGAAAGACAAAAGAGAGAGAGAGAGGCCGAATTGAATTTCGGCTCAAGGCTAAGCGTAAGAGGCAATTTTCGCGGTTAAAAATATTGCAGTAGTATACCTCGAGGGGGCCGGGCGTGTATAGAGCACATTTTCATTATTCAAGCTCCCGCGATCTTTATATATCTATATCTTTTGCCTATAATATTTTTCTTGACGTATAGGTATAAGGGCTCGGCGCCGCAGCGAAACAGTTATAGCCTATATAAGCTCCCGCATTACACGGAATATCTGATTGCTCTTCGCAAGCTCATCGATACGATGGACTCGTGGTCGCGTCTTTCTCGCCTATTTACCCATGTACGTATGTATATCGACCAGAGCTTAATGTATGTATACGTACGAGGCGTGTATACACAGACGGGTGGCACACACACACAGACAAATATCAGAGCTCGCGCTCGAGCTAATCTCGAAATCTTTCAAGGCCTAATTCACATAAGGCGCGGAAAACAAACCCCTCGCGTACGCGCGTTTATTTATATATATTTTATTTATTATACATACGTACGCGCGTACTTGAGTTATAATGCACGGCATAAAGACTCGGCTGTTGTTGTGTGCGCCGCGTTGTATATACATACATATGGAAAACAATAGAAGTCGGAGTGCAGCAGCAGCAGCAGCGGCGGCAAAGCGATTTCGAGCGACTTTAATTGCTTCATCAGTTTCTTTTCAAAGGCAAATATAACAATGCACTTCTGATGCCATTCAGCGGCAAATCTTTCGCACAAACTATAATAATATTCGAGAACGCAGCCGAGAGCACGTGTACAGTACGTATATGTATAACAGCTAAAACAGAGCCGCACGGTGGTACCTGATTAACTCGGAAATCGCATGCAAACGCGTTTTAACTACTTTTCCCACAGCCTATCGCAGCGGTGCCCCCATGCGCGCGAGATGCGCCTTTTTTCTCTCTCTCTTTCTCTCTGTTGTGTACTTTGCTCTGCGCGAAAATTATTTTTATCACCGCAAGAGAATATATTAAAATTCATATTTATCTTGTATGTGGGGCGCGTTGAAAGATTTTCCCGCGAAAATCGCATCGAGATATACACGATCGCCATAGATATAACAGTGCACGCTGCTGTGATTCCACGATCGAGATGAGGATCGATTTTACACCCAAACAGCGTGTAAAATGTGTTTATTACTTTTACGTTCTTTCTTTTTTCACGTGCGAGGCGGCAGCGAACGAATATTGTCATGGAAAATTCATATTTCGAGACACTTTCCAAAGCACTGCGCAGCGCAGCGAGCGAAACATGCATATTTATTCGCTGTTAGTGGCTGCGGCTGCCTGCAGAGCTTTAAAACCGACCGAGGAGATAGGCAGAGTAAGTGGCACGAATTTCACGCACAAATTCCTTCGCGAAACGTTTATATACGTCTACATTTACATCTATGTTTGTGTGTGTAGTTCTCTCCTGTCAGTATTCGAGAGATAAATAAATGAAATATTTATAAAGAATGTTGTTTTCCGCGAAATTCTGCATTTTTCTTCTATCGTATAATATCGGTGCAGCTACGTGCTTGTATTCCCCTGCATTCGTTCCACAAAACTCAATCAGTTTCATTTTTGCGCCTCTCTCTCTCTCTCTCTCTCTCTCTCAGGTTTTTTTTATAAATAATCGGAGTAATTTACAACATAGAGCTTCAATAAAAAAAAGCCACAGATGCAGCGGCTTATATAGCCGGCGCAGATATGTATACCAACACCGAAAACTTCTTTTATTCATCGCTGTTTGCCAAGAGCCGTAATACGCGCCGCTCGAGACTCGCGTGCGAGGCAAGGAAATAGTCCGCATAACTGTTGTGCCTCGCGTTGCACACACACACAAACACACACACAGACACATATACATAAGTATCATACGTGTATATACGAGCGTCGTTGCAGCGCATGTGTGTGTGTGTGTGTGCGTATATATAGCGAGCGAGAGATATCCGAAGCGTAAACGAGCGACTGTCGTATTAGCTATTTTTTTTTATTCCTCAGCCTCGCGTATTTAGCCTGGTTTTTACCTCGCTGTATGCGTTTTGGAGAGCATATGCACCGGCGTTTCGATAAATATATAAATTCGACGATCGGCGCATCTCTCGAATCACCGCGATAATTTTTATTTATGAATTATTCATATGCGGGCGTAGATAATCGTCGAATAGTATCGTGAAAAATCCAGCATGTTCTTCACTCGTGACAATTTTCGCGTATATATAAAATTTATAACGATAAGCGCGTCGCAATTGTTAAGCCTCTTATCGGCCGCAGAAAGCGATCTCGCATCGATGCCGCGCTGCAGTACGTATATGTATAGATATAATCGCAGCGCGCGCGAAAGTTCAAGGGACTCGAGAGCGAGTAAGTATATATATCGCTCGGTGCGGTGCACACACGATCGTCCTTTCGCGTCGGATTAAATCGTCACAATCGTCATGCGGCGCAGGTGCGCTGCCGTGCAGCCATTGAAATACCAGATTATAATATTAAAAGCGAGTTTGAAAGAAGGGAAATTATAATCGTACACACTGCTGTGTGCGATAGGTTTTGCAAGTGAACACTCGTGATTCTGCATGCGAGGAGAAGAAAAATGGAAATCTTCTCGCGATCGCTGTGGATCATTAACATACATTCGATCTATCTCTGCACTGGTTCACTCGGTGGGCGAAAAAATCGATCGAGCTCGGAAAACGCAGCCGCGCCAATCCGATCGATGCCGCGGAATATTTAAAATTCATAAAGCTGGCAAAAGTAAAAAATCACTGCGATCGAGCATACTTGAGCAATAATTCGATGTTGGATCGTCGACGTTTCTCTCTCTCTTACGAGCGGCACACAAGTCTCCGCGTTATACATGTGTATGAAAATCAATCGCGCGCGACTGCAGACTGCAACGTAGATATGCATATGCACACGCACGTATTAGTAAGTGGCGCGGGTCCTCACCGCTGCATAATATACACGTATACACACGCGTGTGTGTATGTGCCAGTGCATACGTGTGTACGCTCGTATATCTAACGGAGTGCGTACACTGCACATATACCTGCCGCTGCGTTGCTGTTGCTTTTGCGAGTACAGAGATCGCGAAACCCATTCACCTGTGGCGGTACATATGCGCCAATTGTATATATTATGTGTGCCTGTGTACGTGTGCGACTGTACGCGCACTGCACTCTCTTTTGGTCGCTCCGTATATACGCGCCTGCATGTGTGCAAGTATACGTCTCATACATGCATATACGAGCCTACATTTTTTTCTTCCTAGCAATTTTGTCTATGAATTATTATTTTGGAAATCTTACCTTACGCCGGCTAAGTATATAAACACAGTGATTCTTGAATAATATTTCTTTAACTTTTGCACTCTATTCGGCGTGAAACGATTCGTGCCGATCACGCGTGTACGATAAAAATGCACAAAGTATTTCTTTAGCGTATAGCGCACTCAACGTTCAGCGAAATTTTGACAAACGTACGCACATGGCTCGACAAGATATAAGGTCAGTCAACGTCAAAGTCGCTCTCGATGTGCATTATATACATGAAAATAATACAACACTCGACGTCGTCGTTTACGTGCACTGACGCAGCCGGGTAAAAATTAATACACGAATGCTTCAATTATTAAATATGCATAAATAGTAACGAAATAAAGGCTATTATGCGCGTGCAGACACACACAGGTCCGCGATCGACCACTGCCGTGCACCGACTGAATCCGTATTTTGTGCGGCGAGTGGGACGCGCCGAGCAAAGCAGCGAGTCGAGTCGGCTAGCCGAGCCGAGGAACGGGACGTTCAGTACAGTACACACTATCACACATACATATACACACTCGTATAACAGCGCGTCGACTTCTTGGCCTCCCCTCTTACTCCTCCTCCTCCTCCTCCTCCTTCTCCGTCGTTTCGCGTCGATTCATGCCTTCGGTATATAATACTCATACTCATATACAGCGACTATACTGTACTACACGTTTAATATACATATCCCTTCTTTTCTCTATGTCATAGCACACACGTATACTTACTTGCACACACATACGCGCAAAATTGTAGTAAGAATATTATTATATGCTTTGATTTTGCACGCCTCGTGTGCAGCGACGGACTCGCCGCGAGAGTGTGTATTTATGTCTGCAGGAAGGAAGGAAGGAAGGAAGGAAGGCAGACAAGGAGGACGCCTATAGAGGAGTGTAGGTATATACTTTAGCTCGAGCGCGAAAACGAGCGATGACTTAATATTTTTGTTATCGTAGGTAAAAAGCACCGTACGACCGACAGCTCCGCACCGTCGAGTATTATAATACCTCTATATCGAATTCGGTCCATCATCGTCGCTTCACATTGTGTACACGTGAATTTTTTATATTATTAAAATGTATCCTTGGATCGAAGCCTCGGTCCATACTAAATCGTTGCCGCATTAGCATGTGGCACGGAGTCGAGAGGGATTCGTCATCGCACCACTCGCTCTCGACGAATTCAAGCATGAGTGTATTGTACTGTGGGCACTGGCTCCACTGCTCATACTTCGGAGCTTCCTCGACCATCGTTGAGCATTACTATTACGAATCTTTGCCTATAGTCGATTCCATGCGCGTGTGCGTCTACGAGTATTAAGTACGCGCTGGAATTTTTCAGACTCCGCTGCCCCCTACGCCAACTCTATATTATTAAATTAAATAAATGAAAAGAAAAAGTATAAAGTCATCTAGGCGATGGCCGCACACGTGCGTGCAGCATAACACATTCGATTCTTTTTTGTTATTTTCGCTCGCATTCCTTTCGCGTGCTTTGTTCATATATACATGAAAAAATTAACTCGCATCTATTTTTGGCCGCGGAGCTTTCGATGACCGTCGAGAGATCCGCTAGCAATAGACAGAGAGCTGCGATATACACACGTGAAACTTTTTGGCCTTCGAGGCAACTATATAGCGATGTATAGCTTTGTCGTGTATGCGAGTATACGTCCCTCCGCGCGCGAACAATGAAACGGCCGAGATCGATCGAAGATGCAATTACACCTTGTGTAGACGTATAGACACACCTGTCGATAATCAATCAATGCACACCTCGACGCGACTCGTGCCTCCAATGCCGAACGTGAATTGTGTACTATACGTAGACTTGGGCCTCGCGACGCGCTGCCGAGGGATCATTGTGTTCATGCGGTATCATAAATATTTCGCATGCATATGTATAACAATCGTCCTCTATCTTATCGATAGTCCGCGCCGATATTTTACGACGAATCATAAACAACGTCGATTATTTCATGGCAAAACTGTATATTGACTGTCTGGTCGCAACTCGCGAATTCCTAATACGTCTGCACAGACGACGCGCGATATCGGCAGAAATGCTAATCCATCGTCGGATTAAAGTCACGTCCGATATTCCTCTTTCCCTCCTTGCCGCGTCCAGTGCAGCGCATGTGGTGTGCTGCACATCCGCGGCACGTACGCTCGACCCACGTGTTTTTTTTCTTCTCTTTAGGTATATTTTTGTACTGCGCGACATTATGTAAAAATCATTATACCGTGATACCGATTTTCGGTATACGCGCGCTACACATATCGTTGCATAAGTGCGCCGATCGTGAATTGCACGACGCAAAAATAGCTCGCTCCACGAAGCAGCAGCAGCTGAAGAGCTTTTTCTGTCGCGATGAATAGTCTCCACTGCGCTCCTCGTCGTCGTCACCCTCGATTTCCGGAGTCTGAATTAATTAAGCGCCGAGAGAGGATCGAGAGTGATTCGAACGAGGCACGAGCCACGAGCCACGCATATTCCTCGCCCCGAGACTATATAACCCACTGTTTATTATGCCAAATTGAGCACATTTTTATTTTAACCTCGTTGAATCTCGAGCCACGCGCCCAACTAATAACGTTCATTAGTCTCGTGTACTATATGCAGTTGAGATGCAAAGGAAGTCGCAAGCTTGCCCGCATAACGTCGTAATATGTTTATAAAATAATTGAAAATCGGCGCCGCGTCGAGCGATGCTGTTTATAACCATAACGTAAGCAAATTTTTGTCCAACATCTCAGGTATATATAGATCACACGAGCGCGCAAATGACTCGTTTACAGCTGCTAAAATATCCATTTACACGTGCTTTGCAACAGTGAGAGAAAAATCGCGCGATGCCGAGACCATACACTCGCTGCTACTGCTGCTGTGTACAAGTATAACTACCACTTATTTACCACATTATGTAGGCAGCCAGCAGTAGCATATTGACAAAAAGACCCGGACAAAAGTACTCCGCGCTCAAGCACGATATTATATGCATGCCTGGCTGCTGCCGCGCACACACGCGACCGACCGACGTCGTCTCCATGTAGACTCAATTCGTTCGATAATAATATTATATACGTACGCAAGAAAAAAACGAAGAACAAGAGGAGGATCGTGCCGCACGCAAAGAGCTACAAGAGCATGACAAAATTTAAACGACTCATCCCTCGTGAGTGGGGTCAAATGAAAAAAATATGCACGACGCCGTTTATAAATTGGGAGCTGCATGATCGACGTGACTGGAAATGAAATCATCGTCCGATTCAATTGATCTTGCTGAAGCTCGTCGACTCGACGGATCGAATATAATATAATATAATAATTTCAACTCTTCTCGGCTCTTCGCAGTCGAATGCAATTTTTATCTCCACGACTTTTCGAGAGACACGTGCCGCGACGTCGCGGTGTAGAATAATTTTTTTTTCACGCAAAGAAAAAATAATACGATTTTCTCGGATTTCGCATCCGCGCGACTTCGTCGAAAAGCGGCGGCGAGCGAGCGATCGTCATTTTACGCGTGCCCGCGTCGCCGAGCAACCATCACTTAGAATACGCTGCGCCGATTTCTATTTTTCCACTTTTCCTATCGTTTTAAGCGGAAAAAAAAGAGTCGAATGTAATTTACGACTTTCGCGTAATGATTTTTTCTTTCTCTGCTACGCGAGCCTCGGTATGTCGCTCTCTTGTGTTTGCTCGATCGAGGCGATCGCTGCTGCTGCTGCTGCTGCTGTCCAGCCACCGTGTACCAAGGCATTCGCATTTTCGCGCGCGCTCGCAGTAATCCAACGCGCGAGTCATCATTTGTCATATACGCACAAAGATACGCACGGGGTCATGTCCAGAGAATAATAGAGACGTTTTGGATATGATGCGATATGCGCGTGCCCACGTGCTCCAGTTGCGAAATTGGTGCAAAAATTCGTAATTATAATATAATATAATTCGTAATTATAATATTCGTAATTATAATATAATTTTCAAGGATAGAGCGCTCGATCAAAACTATCTACACATCGAACGTTTCAGAGAGCCTTTATTATTTGGATAAAATAATAAACTCGCCCGAGAACGTGTAGGTAGGTGGCTGTGTGCGAAGATTATCGAAGTCAAAATTAATTATCGAAAAAAATCTTATTATACTACTTGATTCGCCTTCTTTTTTTTTTTGTAAATAAAAATCGAAAAGTAAACACGACCAATGTCAGAGATCTCTCGCTGTCAGTCGCGCACGTATATTATATTTTCGCCAACACGCGTTCGCTCGTGCTAACCACTGCTGCGTCGTGTAAATGTGTTTACCGAAACATTAGCAAAAGTACGTATAATACTGCCTAGTACTTGAACATTTTTTTTAACCTGCATCACTTTTTCGTCGTTCCATGACCCATTTTTGAGATGAATTTTTTTTTCCTTTTTTTCATTCGACGCTAATTTTAATGATGACAATAAGTTTATGGTACGATTTTTACACGTGTATATTTTTCATTTACAATATTACATTATATTTCTCATTCGCTGCTGCTGCCGATGCTGTTATAATACAGCGACAAAAGACGCGCGAGAACTTCAATAATTGGTGTAACATGCGTTGCAACATTGCACATAGCCGATCTTCTTGTCTGTATTAAAGCGAACTTTTAAAAGGTACTTTTAATAGGTAGCCGCGCGACGACGTATATAATGCGACCCAAATTAGTAGGCTCATCGTTATGACTTTATTGCTCGAAAATAATACGACAAACAGCCGAGGATTATGCAATTCTTCTGCTTTATTATGTTTCTTTTTTCTTAAATATTTGTAATGGATTTCACGCGTGAACGCGAGTTTGTTTTTCTGTTTGTGCCACTTCGTCTGACAGCAGCAGCAGTTGTTGATGTGGAATTTTTAATCGATTTAATTCGTCACATACATATTGAATATCTAAAGCACCATCGCACGCATAGTAACTAGTTTTTAACAACGAGTGCTTGAGACCTCGATAATTCGAGGTAAACGCAAAATCGACGCCAATTTTCGTGATTCTTTTTTGGAATTGGCTGCCAAACTCCATTAAGTCGTTATGTATTGCGGAATGATTCTACTTTATAATAGTCTTGAGATGCTCTACAACGGATAGGACTTTGCTTTATCCTTGCTCGCAGACCATCGGTAAAACCCTTCTTTTTTTGGTTTTTCTGCGTGAGTCGACGACTTAGCTTTTGATTTATTGGTCTCTGAAGAATCCATTCATAAACTTAAAAAAAAAGTAAAAGAATCCTCGACATTTTCGAGCTCACCGATAAAACACTGTTAAAATATTATTTTCACCGAAAAATCGTTCTTAAACGACGTCCAATTTTTCATGCGCTCGCAGTACTTACTCGAATTTCGTAACGTAAAATTTCGTTTC